CTTCCTTCCTTCCTTCCTTCCTGTTAGAATGCAGGATTGCAGGCTAACTCTGCCAATTGCCAGGAGTTCAATCCTGACCGGCTGAAGGTTGACTCAGCCTTCCATCCTTCCAAGGTGAGTAAAATGAGAACCCAGATTGCTGGGGGGGGAAAGGCTGACTCTGTAAACCACTTAGAGAGGGCTGTAAAACACCATGAAGCAGTATATAAGTCTAAGGGCTATGGCTGTTGCTATGGAAGAGCTTGGGTGGTTAGGAGCCCACATCCATGGTACTCAAAGAGAAGGGAAGACATCCAACAAACTTTGGAAGATTCCCACCCTGCCTCCCACCCCCACAGTAGAAGGGAAAAAAAAAACAACGATCACACAGCGGGCCCCCCTACCAAACTCACCGCAAAGTTTGTGATGAGTGGCTGGGAAGTGTAGGTCAGCACGGAGGACGTCCCCACGAGGGTGTAACTGGGGCAGACCGGCTGAACAAACATGTCAGCCGTGTAAGGGCAGCTGACCGCTTCGTGAGACACGTAATCCGGGGCCGTAGTCCATTGGGTCAGAGGTTGCAATGTGGCCGGGGGCGGCTGAGTCAACCACCCCGAATAAAGCGCTCCTTCCTCCATCAGGGGCAGCGAAGAGGTGACCAAATCCGTCTCGGAGTAAACTTGACCTTCGCGGAAAGAGAGAAAGGGGAAAAGGTGATCCGAAGATGGAGAACGAGGAAAGATGTGCTTTTGGGGAGGAGGAAAAGCTCCCTTCTCCCCCCACACCAAAAAAAATTCTGAAATTCTTACCCGTGGGTGAGTAGGATGGAAGTGACTGATGGGGGAAAAACACCTAAAGGAAAATTAGAGGTTGGTATTATTTAAGAGTGATAAAACCACAAGGAGAAGAATTACTCACAGGCTGACTAGGAAACTTACTGCATCAGTAATGCTCAAACGGCAACTCCGTGTCAAGACTGAAGGGCCAGAAGGAAAGAAATGTGTCTGAGGAGGGTGGGAAAGTCTCAAATGTTCACACCAGTGGTGGGTTCCCGGTGGTACAGCCCGATACAGCTGTACCGGTAGTAGCCAGGAGAAACGGCAACCGTACCGGTATGGTGGATCGTTTGGTCCACCTGCCCGCGTTCCATAGCTGTTTTTGAAGCAACCGGGACAATTGCGCGCATGCACAAAGTGTGCAGCACTTGTGCAGCCTCCGCTGAGCTGCTCAGTGTCACAGGGCGGTGGTGTCCGCATGCATGCGCAGTGCACGTGCCTGACCAGAACACCCGGCCCTGTGAGCAGCGTACTAGTTGTGACGGGGTCGGGAACCCACCACTGGTTCACACCCTGGCCCATAATCAGTTTTCATCACTGTTACTGATGTGGCCACATCTGGCTCTAATGACAGAGGCATTTAGGAGGACGTAGCTCACCGTTCTAAAGCAGTGTTTTTCCCCCAAAATTGGTCATTTGAAACAGTGTGGACTTCAATTCCCAGAATTCCCAAGCCAACTGGCTGGGGGAATCTGGGAGCTGAAGTCCACAGATCCTAAAGCATGGAGGTTGGGGGAATCTGGGAGTTGAAGTCCACTCATCTTAAATCATGAAGGTTGGGGGAATCTGGGAGTTGAAGTCCACCCATCTTAAAGCATGGAGGTTGGGGGAATCTGGGAGTTGAAGTCCACAGATCTTAAAGCATGGAGTTTGGGGGAATCTGGATGTTGAAGTCCCCAGATCTTGGCGTGGTGGTTGGGGGAATCTGGGAGTTGAAGTCCACCCATCTTAAAGCATGGAGGTTGTGGGAATCTGGGAGCTGAAGTCCACAGATCTTAAAGCATGGAGTTTGGGGGAATCTGGGTGTTGAAGTCCCCAGATCTTGGCGTGGTGGTTGGGGGAATCTGGGAGTTGAAGTCCACAGATCTTAAAGCATGGAGTTTGGGGGAATCTGGGTGTTGAAGTCCCCAGATCTTGGCGTGGTGGTTGGGGGAATCTGGGAGTTGAAGTCCACAGATCTTAAAGCATGGAGGTTGGGGGAATCTGGGAGCTGAAGTCCACAGATCTTAAAGCATGGAGGTTGGGGGAATCTGGGAGTTGAAGTCCACCCAT